GGCTAGGTTTAGATTAACAAAAATAACAAACTGACTCGGAACGCTGAAAACGGCAGGCAGGCAGGATAATTTTCAGGCAGAACTCACCAGCTCGGCAGATGTGGCTGTTGGGGCTACTTCGGGTTCTTTGGGTGGTTCTGAGGCTTCAGTGGTGGTTATTGATTCTACAGAAATAAGAGACAGGAACAGAGTAGGTGAGCTATCTCATGCAAAGTTATTAAAGAAATTGGAGTTGGTAGTTTAGCATAGATTTGGTCTCATTAATTTTGGTCTGATCAGTGGGTTTGATCCTCAGGAAGCCTTTTAGTAAAGGAGACTGTCCGCTCGGTTCAGTTTATTCAAAGTTAATAGGCAGCAGTTTGGCGAAATCGGAGTTTGTCGGATATCAACCGAATTTCCGTACATAAAAGCCTGTCTATGTGACGTGGAACCGACAAAGAGAAGGGAGACTGGGATGGTCATTTCTGGCTTACTAGTCGTCGTCAGTCAGTCATACCCAATCTCCAGAGTTGGCGATCCCCGAGATGGCCATTCCAGTCTCCCTTGTCTTTGGCACTTCCACTTCATCGTATTCTACAAGTTGCCATGCGACTGCCTGCAAGGGCCTTAGATTGACCTTCAAGGCAAAACGGGACGAATATGTTCCGTAGCCAGCTCGGTTACCGTCCTACCCCTCAGCATGTTCGTCTGCCTGGCACAGGCAACATCTGATGTGTGCAAGAGACCTGTCCCTCGGCGTGTCTGATACCATTTTCGGATCGCACGATGAGTACAAAACGTACTATTAAAGTTACCTTAGACCCAACTAAATTCGTATGCAGGCAATAAAGAGAGGGAATGAGTCTGTTTAGCCTGTGTTTTGGGAAGAATTCGGCCCCGTGGAACAGGCTCGATGTGGTTCGACTCTTTTTTGGGGGATTTCCCGTTTAAGATAGCCACGGAACGACGTGATCCCATTACTGATTGCGTTCCTTGTGCTATCGATTGGAGTGGCTATAGAGCAAACCATCGCGTCTGTACAAAAAGCGAGATGCATGAAGACTTCGTCTAGCTGACGTTGCAGGTATCCCACTAATTTCTAAGACGGCCAGTCAGATCAATTATAGCCGAGTGGACAAATTGCTCTCAAAAAAAGAATTGGCTAGAATTCCGGAATAATGCACAGAAAGTCGGCAGCATCTACTGTGCAGAGATTGTTACAGACTGCCAGTGGGGCCCAATATACTCTCAGGGGATAGGCCAAACGAGATAAACCCAAGACTTGACGGTCCCACTATAAGCTCACCAGCCAACAATTTAAGTAACTAGGTCACTTCTGCATCAAGAGCGAAAACTGCAGTATGTAGATGGATAGTTCGGTGAAGATGAAAGGCTCGTCGGAAAAACAAGAGTTGCTTATGAATTTTCAAGCAGCTCGCAGCTGCCCGTCTTCAGACTAAATCAGGGGTCGGCAACCCATGGCTCGCGAGCCATATATGGCTCTTTTGATGA